TATGACGTTTTTATACCTTACTATACTATGACGTTTTTATACCTTACTATACTATGACGTTTTTATGACGTTTGTATGCCTCATTATACTATGATGTTTTGATGGTGTTTTTATGCCTTACTATACTATGATTTTTTCATACCTTACTATACTGTGACGTTTTTATGACGTTTTTATGCCTTACTATACTATGACGTTTTTATGACATTTTTATGCCTAACTATACGTTTTTATGACGTTTTTATTCCTTAGTATACTATAACATTTTTATGCCTTACTGTACTATGATGTTTTTATGCCTTAATAAACTATGATGTTTTTATACCTTACGATACATATGATGTTTTTACGACGTTTTCATGCCTTACTATACTATTACTTTTTTATACGTTTCTATACTATGACGTTTTTAGGCCTTACTATACTATGACCTTTTTTAACGTTTTCATGCCTTACTATACTATTACTTTTTTATACGTTTCTATACTATGACGTTTTTAGGCCTTACTATACTATGACCTTTTAATGCCATTTTTATACCTCACAATACTATAACGTTCTTTATGCCGTACTATACTTTGAACTTTGTGAAACCTTACTGTACAACGACGTTTTTACGCCTTACTATACTATGACGTTTTTATACCTCACTATACTACGACGTTTTTACACCTTACTATATTATGACGTTTTTTATACCTTACTATAATATGATGTTACTATACTATGACATTTTTATGCGTTACTATACTATGACGGTTTTATACCTCACTATCCTACGACGTTTTTACGCGTTACTATACTATGACGGTTTTATACCTCACTATCCTACGACGTTTTTACGCGTTACTATACTATGACGGTTTTATACCTCACTATCCTACGACGTTTTTACGCGTTACTATACTATGACGGTTTTATACCTCACTATCCTACGACGTTTTTACGCGTTACTATACTATGACGGTTTTATACCTCACTATCCTACGACGTTTTTACGCGTTACTATACTATGACGGTTTTATACCTCACTATCCTACGACGTTTTTACGCGTTACTATACTATGACGGTTTTATACCTCACTATCCTACGACGTTTTTACGCGTTACTATACTATGACGGTTTTATACCTCACTATCCTACGACGTTTTTACGCGTTACTATACTATGACGGTTTTATACCTCACTATCCTACGACGTTTTTACGCGTTACTATACTATGACGGTTTTATACCTCACTATCCTACGACGTTTTTACGCGTTACTATACTATGACGGTTTTATACCTCACTATCCTACGACGTTTTTACGCGTTACTATACTATGACGGTTTTATACCTCACTATCCTACGACGTTTTTACGCGTTACTATACTATGACGGTTTTATACCTCACTATCCTACGACGTTTTTACGCGTTACTATACTATGACGGTTTTATACCTCACTATCCTACGACGTTTTTACGCGTTACTATACTATGACGGTTTTATACCTCACTATCCTACGACGTTTTTACGCGTTACTATACTATGACGGTTTTATACCTCACTATCCTACGACGTTTTTACGCGTTACTATACTATGACGGTTTTATACCTCACTATCCTACGACGTTTTTACGCGTTACTATACTATGACGGTTTTATACCTCACTATCCTACGACGTTTTTACGCGTTACTATACTATGACGGTTTTATACCTCACTATCCTACGACGTTTTTACGCGTTACTATACTATGACGGTTTTATACCTCACTATCCTACGACGTTTTTACGCGTTACTATACTATGACGGTTTTATACCTCACTATCCTACGACGTTTTTACGCGTTACTATACTATGACGGTTTTATACCTCACTATCCTACGACGTTTTTACGCGTTACTATACTATGACGGTTTTATACCTCACTATCCTACGACGTTTTTACGCGTTACTATACTATGACGGTTTTATACCTCACTATCCTACGACGTTTTTACGCGTTACTATACTATGACGGTTTTATACCTCACTATCCTACGACGTTTTTACGCGTTACTATACTATGACGGTTTTATACCTCACTATCCTACGACGTTTTTACGCGTTACTATACTATGACGGTTTTATACCTCACTATCCTACGACGTTTTTACGCGTTACTATACTATGACGGTTTTATACCTCACTATCCTACGACGTTTTTACGCGTTACTATACTATGACGGTTTTATACCTCACTATCCTACGACGTTTTTACGCGTTACTATACTATGACGGTTTTATACCTCACTATCCTACGACGTTTTTACGCGTTACTATACTATGACGGTTTTATACCTCACTATCCTACGACGTTTTTACGCGTTACTATACTATGACGGTTTTATACCTCACTATCCTACGACGTTTTTACGCGTTACTATACTATGACGGTTTTATACCTCACTATCCTACGACGTTTTTACGCGTTACTATACTATGACGGTTTTATACCTCACTATCCTACGACGTTTTTACGCGTTACTATACTATGACGGTTTTATACCTCACTATCCTACGACGTTTTTACGCGTTACTATACTATGACGGTTTTATACCTCACTATCCTACGACGTTTTTACGCGTTACTATACTATGACGGTTTTATACCTCACTATCCTACGACGTTTTTACGCGTTACTATACTATGACGGTTTTATACCTCACTATCCTACGACGTTTTTACGCGTTACTATACTATGACGGTTTTATACCTCACTATCCTACGACGTTTTTACGCGTTACTATACTATGACGGTTTTATACCTCACTATCCTACGACGTTTTTACGCGTTACTATACTATGACGGTTTTATACCTCACTATCCTACGACGTTTTTACGCGTTACTATACTATGACGGTTTTATACCTCACTATCCTACGACGTTTTTACGCGTTACTATACTATGACGGTTTTATACCTCACTATCCTACGACGTTTTTACGCGTTACTATACTATGACGGTTTTATACCTCACTATCCTACGACGTTTTTACGCGTTACTATACTATGACGGTTTTATACCTCACTATCCTACGACGTTTTTACGCGTTACTATACTATGACGGTTTTATACCTCACTATCCTACGACGTTTTTACGCGTTACTATACTATGACGGTTTTATACCTCACTATCCTACGACGTTTTTACGCGTTACTATACTATGACGGTTTTATACCTCACTATCCTACGACGTTTTTACGCGTTACTATACTATGACGGTTTTATACCTCACTATCCTACGACGTTTTTACGCGTTACTATACTATGACGGTTTTATACCTCACTATCCTACGACGTTTTTACGCGTTACTATACTATGACGGTTTTATACCTCACTATCCTACGACGTTTTTACGCGTTACTATACTATGACGGTTTTATACCTCACTATCCTACGACGTTTTTACGCGTTACTATACTATGACGGTTTTATACCTCACTATCCTACGACGTTTTTACGCGTTACTATACTATGACGGTTTTATACCTCACTATCCTACGACGTTTTTACGCGTTACTATACTATGACGGTTTTATACCTCACTATCCTACGACGTTTTTACGCGTTACTATACTATGACGGTTTTATACCTCACTATCCTACGACGTTTTTACGCGTTACTATACTATGACGGTTTTATACCTCACTATCCTACGACGTTTTTACGCGTTACTATACTATGACGGTTTTATACCTCACTATCCTACGACGTTTTTACGCGTTACTATACTATGACGGTTTTATACCTCACTATCCTACGACGTTTTTACGCGTTACTATACTATGACGGTTTTATACCTCACTATCCTACGACGTTTTTACGCGTTACTATACTATGACGGTTTTATACCTCACTATCCTACGACGTTTTTACGCGTTACTATACTATGACGGTTTTATACCTCACTATCCTACGACGTTTTTACGCGTTACTATACTATGACGGTTTTATACCTCACTATCCTACGACGTTTTTACGCGTTACTATACTATGACGGTTTTATACCTCACTATCCTACGACGTTTTTACGCCTTACTATACTATGACTTTTTTATACATTTCTATACTATGACATTTTTATGCGTTACTATACTATGACATTTTAATGCCTAACTATACTATAACGTTCTTTATGCCTTACTATATATTGACCTTTGTTAAACCTTACTATACTACAACATTTTCATGCCTTACTGTACTATGATGTTTTTATACCTCACTATACAACTACGTTTTTATGTCTTACTATACTATGACGTTTTTATACCTTACTATACTATGATGTTTTCATGCCTCACTATACTATGACGTTTTTATACCTTACTATACTACGACCTTTTTATGCCTTACATACTATGACATTTTTATACCTTCCTATACCTTGACGTTTTTATACTATGACGTTTTCATGCTTTACTATACTATGGTGTTTTTATGACATTTTTATACCTTACAATATTATGACGTTTTTATGCCTCACTATACTTTTAATAAAAATTGTTTATCAAATTTTAACAAACGTGACAGATCAGACAAAGGGTTTGTTCACCCAAATTTCTTCTTTACCTTCTTCTGTGGTATTTAACCCTGCAGATAGTTTTGAATTTATTTCCCAGGTCTGTCTCTGAGATTTCTGCCTCCTGCCCAGAATGATGAAGGTCCAGTGTCCCTGCTACTCTGATTATCCACAGAAAGAGTGTGCTGTTCCTCTCAAAACTGTTGACAATGAAGTCTGTTCATTATTCAGAGTAACAGATTTGTTCATTTTTACCTCCATTGTACTGGGGTGATGTCAGAAATGTCAGACAAACATCTCAAAACCTGAACCGTAAAACCAAAACTGTTGCATGTTTGGATACCAGAGGTAAGAAAATGCCTATAACCGACCCTTTAACCACAGTCATTGTTATTAATGAAAAAGAAGCTACAGATACATCATCTCATTAACACAAAACAATGTCATATCTTTCCACACAATAGATGCTTTATTACTCTGTGACAGGACACTCACATCACACTGTCAGCACATAAAGTTAATGTTGCATACAGTTTCCAACATTATCCGAAACAGCAGGACCCTACTCACAAATAACCACTGGAAGATGCCACGTACAAAAAGCCCAGGGTGGATACAGCAAAGGCAACACCACACACACTCATACACAGTTAGCAGGTGACAGGACACACACACAGCCAGCTCCGCCTAAAGCCTCCGTTAACCTACTGTAGGTCACATTTCTCAGTCAAAATGGTGGATATTTTTCAAGGTGTGAACAAGCGTCAGACTGCTAGCATGTGTTCCTCCTAGCATATATTGCCTCTTTAAAAGCAGCTTTAGGGGATTACATTACATTACAATAATTATTGGGCTCAAAGTGCTGTAGAAAATAAATATGACAAGAACGAGACTTTAAATGCATAACCCACCTCAGCCTCCTTTATGCAACACAGATGTTTGCTAGGTATCTTTAAAAAAAATATAGATATAGCTACATTTCCAGGACTAAAACGTGAATACTTGTACAGTACATAAGGAGGAATGCATATATATAATAATGTATATAATAAGGAATGGGGATCAAGAAAATACAATGTTAGTGCTGTTAGCTACATAAAGAGCTCTATTCCAAATGACTACCCTCAAATTTGATGTCATCTTAAGATCCCTTCTGAAAAGTGCCATGACTTAATCATACAATACAACTTTTTAATGTCACCTACTAAATTTTAAAATCAGCCTTAATTTATTTGCAATCAATCAGCAGTCAGTCAGTCATTGTGTGAGCAGCCATCACTGTTTTGTGAAGCTAGTTTCATGTTGGGGTGACGCTCGCTGCTGCCGGCAGGGCAGCAGTTCAGATGGCCGATGAGGTTTTGGTCTCTTTGGGTCGGAGCCGGGCCACGTGCTCCAGCTGGCCGGAGTCGGACACGTCGTAGCTCGTCTTGTACTTGGCCAGGATTTTCATCAGTGGGCGGAGCTTCAGCCACCACTGCTCCTTAGGGATCCTGTGGCTGAAAGGACAAAGTATGAGTACAGCATTATCTCATCTAAAATCTACATTTTTCTCTCTCACAGCAAGAAATTAAATATTATTAAATATTAAAAATATTAAATGAAAACAATAAATATTTTTTATGTTGTTAAATTCACTGTGTTTGATAAAGTCTAATATCTGCACCGAGGAAGATTTAAATAGTGACGTCATGTTACAGTTTGGGGGCCAAATGTTACCTACATCTTATTTGCATAGATATATATAATAATATATATATATATATATAATATTTTTTTTTTTTTTTTTTTTTCTTTTTTTTTTTTTTTTTAAATCAACCACCACAGATTAAAGCAGACAATTGAAAAGATCTTTTTGCAGATTAATATTTAAAAGCAATAATATTTGCACAAAGAGATGGAGAAGGTGGAAACGGCCACTGAGGCTCTAAAGAAAAGAAATGAGAAAGGAAGTGAACATATTTCCTGAAAATGTGCAACTATTCCTTAAGCTATTGTACAATAAGCTCCATATTTAAGTTTGTTAAGTTTATTTCACTTTTTTAGTCTTTAAGTCGAGGAGCTGCATTGCTAGAGATCATAAGCATTTTTTTCTTACACAAAGTCGGTCTCGTCCCGGAGCTGTGACACAGGCTGGAAGACCAGAGCTCTGCGCCGCATCCCCAACAGACACGCAGTTTCCTCCGAGTTAGCAAACACTCGCCCTGCAGTGAGGACAAGCGTTAGCCTTTATAACCCAAGCCCTTGCATAGACACACTGAATTTTGATCTTACACACCCCTGATGAATCCAGAAAAACAAGGAACTATAACATCCTCGTCAAATCCAGGAGATGAGTTTTGATTTACCTCCTTTGTAAGAGTCCTTGAGCGTCTGCGTGATCCACTGGATGGCTTTAGCAGCGACTTTGGTGCCAAAGTTTCTATCAAATGGAGATGGAGCTCCTCCCTGTGAGAAGCAAAGAGAATATTCTTCTGTTTACAATAAGGCTGAGAAATAAGACATTTGTTAATATATATAGTGTATATAGTTTAATGCAATTAACTGTATTCCAGTTACACACATCATATCAGACATAACTCCACAAATTTAAAACAAAACTTAGAGTCTGATTTTCTTAGGTATTGATCAGTTTCCTTTTGATAACAGAAATCTGTTAAACAGTAAAACAATGTTATTGAATTATTGCCAGGCCCTAATTCACAATTTATTTTATGGACTGTGTCGTGTCACAGTTTTAGGATAACATGGTTCCCTACATCATAGGTACATTTACTTTAACTGGTGAAAACAAAACATCTACAGTGTGTGTGTGTGTGTGTCCAACCTGCTGCATGTGGCCAAGGATGTTCTTCCTGCAGTCGAACACTCCCCGACCCTCCTCAGTGTACAGCTGGTAGACGAAATCAGTGGTGAAGTTCTCGTTGCAGTTCTCATTCCTGCAACACGAGACATGAACAAGGGCAGCAGGTCAGCTAAAGGCTCAGTTCACTGAAATAACAAAAAATGATACCAACCTACTGTAAAGTTTTCTTTAGAACTACTTTCTACCCAAGAAAATAGTTCCTATGAAAACTGTTGACAGTGTGAGTAACCATTGATTTTTTTGTCATGGCTGGGAGCAACACAAATGATGGATCCCTCAGAACCTGCACATACTATTTGGTGAACCAGCCCTTCAGCTCAGTGCTAACGTGCCCTTGAGCCAGAGCATCAGTCTACTGTCCAATGCAACCTGCAGACATACTTGTGATGTGATGCACCAAGAGTGTGTCTCGTAATAATGAAATTATGGCTGTGCAAACCTCAGCACAGACCCACAATGTCACCTACACACTGTCCAAAATACTACATGTGTCCTATTTCCACAGACCTGCATCCTGCTGGGAGCAATTTAAACAGTGTGATGGTGCAGCGGACTAAAATAGCCACGACAGACGACATGAGATCATGTCTGAGAGGTCGATCTGATGTCAAACACATGTTAAGAAGAAGTGGTTTAAGATATTACTTATTTAAAATAATGCGTCACAAAACAAAAATGTAGAGTATTTTACACTCCATTTGACACGTTCTCAGTCCTGCACACACACACACACACACACACACACACACACCTATTCAAAATCCCTGATGAAAACCGTGTGTGTGGCAAGGTAATGACAAGGAAACAGCAGCTTGGAAATGTTTACATGTATGTGGAAAAAGAAGATGAAATTGACTGGTATGAGAGGTACGAGCCTCACCTGAGCACTAAGCCTCTCTGGATGCTCGTCTTCATCTTCTGCGTCAGATGCTCCACGTTGGCCTGAAAACACAGAGTGAAGCCTCACATTAAACCGGAGCAATCTTCACGACCAGCCGACACAGCTGCAAATCACACACCTCCGTCTCTCCCCAGAGCGGAGAGGTGCAGGGTGGCATTTACACCATCAGGGGGCGCCAACTCAGCTGTTTCCACCCTTTACTATAACACAAAGGTTTGTCTCGGAGCCCTCTCCTCTCTTGTGTTATATTAACTTTAGAAAGTTTTGGTCAATTCTTTAAAAGTCATTCAGAGAAAATATATATATATATATATATATATGTATAAATATAAATATATATACATATATATATAAAATATTTTTACCTTTTTCAAATAAATTATTTTCTCACACACAAATACAATCAATCTTCTGTTTCTACTTAATGTTATAATAAAATTAATAATCTGTGGAGCACTTTTCAAAAACCAAGTTACAAGTTGCTGCACAAAAGGCAACACCTTAAAAACCTTGAAAGCAAATTTAAAAATTCAATGTAAGACATTAAACTGGGCAGATTAAAAATAAAATAACTTGAACAAATTCAGTATAACTACATTTTAAAAAAAGTAAGTAAAAGTAAAGTTTAAGTTTGTAATTTATTCAAAAATGAACGTTGAGCCACAGTTTGACAACAACAACATAAACACGGTGACAACCCTGACGTCTTTAATCACACTGACCTGATCTGAATGAGTGAAGCAGCTCACAGGTTATTAATAAACTGCTTCATGTGCACTGTGATAATCTGGGTCACCTGCACAGTCCTGAAAGCTCCAGGCTGAGGCAGTGATGAACTGCTGGAAGCTGCTTCTACACTCACGTGAACAACCTGATCTGTGCTGCCTCATGAGAGCCAGCGTTTACTGTACTGTGGGTAAAATACAGCTGAGGAACATAAATAACAAGAGGAGAAATATGGAAACTGAGACAAGATGCTTAAAATAGAAAGTCAGACAGAAACAGGTATTGTTATTATCTCTGACCTGCAGGTCCCTGATGTCAAACGGCTCCTCATAGATGTAGACGGTGTCGGCGCCAGCGGCCAGACCGCCCACAGTGGCCAGGTAGCCGCAGTAGCCGCCCATAGTCTCAATGATGAAAACTCTCCGCTTGGTACCACTGGCCGACTGCTTGATGCGGTCGCACGTCTGATTCACACATGCAAAGAGTTTGCTGTTATTAAACAAGCAAAACACACAAGGTGTGCAGCTACACAAGACTTTAAAGTAGAGCTGAAATGATCAGTCAACAGGAAACTGACAGTTTTTTACCGTTACTTCATCATATAAGCGAAAATACTGAACAGTTTTTCTAATGTGGGAATTTGCTGCTTTTATCTGTGTGTTTCATGTCATTATGAATTGAAATGTTCTGGCTTTCTTGTTGTAAACAATCCAACACGTGTGCAACATTATGTCTCTAAACTACAATCAAAACAGTTTGCAAATAAAAAAAGAATTGATGCTACTGATCAGCTGCAGCTCTACTTTAGTAGATAAAGTAAAGTAGACAAATTACTGAGGAAACATGCAGCAAGAAGAGTCAGATCAAACATTCTGAGTCTTAGTGATGCACAGGTCGACTCCTGATTGATTATAAAATACTAGGTCAGCAGGTGTGTCATGGAGAAGTGAATTTATGGATTTTGCATAATAATATGCAATACATGTCATTTCACTATATTTTGGATTTTTTTTTTTTTATGCGTGTTTTGTGCTCTGTCTCTTAGACAAAGTTTTAACTAAGTCACATCTGAAGACATTTCTGTTGATGCAGGACATGAAAACCTGAAGGCAACTTAGTCCATACTTTGAAAAGTTACAAGAATGTGTTTTTAATTGAGTTTAATGGTAAGATTGACATATGAGCTACGTAGCTATGAGCTACATATGCAAATAATATTTTCACAACAAAAGCCTTTTACTTCTATACTTTTGTGTAGCTAAAATAACAGTATGTGTAGTACTTCACTTAGGAAACAGTGGTTATCTGCAGACACAGCATGACTGAATGGGGCTGGTTTGTGATGCTGATCTGATCTGGGTGTCAGAGTTGACCTGTGCACACTGGACCTTCGTTCTACCCAGATGGATGGAGTCTCCCAGATCAGGACTCTGTACGCAGTCTCCCCTTATCTTGTTGCCAAACCTCATATTGTTATTTCTTAGTCGTCTAAAATTTTGGTACTCATCATTTTGTTCTTGGAAGACTTCACCCATCTGGTATCAACAGTACAGGAAGAACAGAATCACTGATGAGCACTTTCTAACTCAGACCTGACAACACATCAACTGATGCACTCTTCAAACACAAACAAAGCTTTACACACTTTACCAGCAGGGGGAGGATGTGACCCAGAACTGCTTCCAAAATGCATGACATCATCAATACAACATAACAACACTCACGTGACATGCAATGCATTATGGTCTTTGAAGTAGCCTTTCTCAAAAACAGGAAAACGTGTACTCACAGATTGTTGTGGTTTTTACTTTACAGCTTTTTCCATGAACATTTCTGATCATAATTCTACTCTCAAAAAAAGCATGCACTGACTGATTCTGTGTTAGCAAGCTGTCTATAGGTTAAAACAGAGAAAGATACCGGGTGCTCTCGGTTATGCCATAGTGAGTCTCCAGGTGAATGCAAAGTGCTCTTGAAGTTGAAATGTAGACACAAGGAAGCTACTGGGCTGACTTCAGGCATTTTATCAGAGTAAAATATCCAAAACATAAATCCCAAAAAGGGAAAAAAAAAAAAAAAAAAAAAACACCGACTGGTTTTCGACCACTACAGGGTCTTCCTCAGGGCGGAGAGTGGAGGGTATTTGGGCTTGTGGAGCAGCCAATCAGAGGAGGTGCTCATCCAGGTCTTAATAAGGATATGGATTTCAGACCTTTCTTGTAAACTTGCTTACACCCTCTCTTTATAGTTTAAAATGGTTGGTATCATTTTTTTTGCAAATTTTTTATTGAAGATAATCATGATGATAATTAATATCTTCCAGTTTATAAAGCCTACTTGTAATGCCAGTGAGGTCTATCTAAATGAGGAATCATGACTCTCCACTCTCTCCACTTTCCTTTCCTTTCCAACCACGCCCTGAGGAAGACCCTCAGGGCATTTTTTCCCCCCTTTTTGGGATTTATGTTTTGGACATTTTACTCTAACAAACCCTAACAAAATAAAGGCATTTTAATTATATCATCGGCTCTGTGCGAGTGTGCCCAGCAGCTTCCTTTTATCTTTAGGTCAAACTGGGATTTCTCCACCTTTTGCAGTCTGTGTTTTTAGCTATAAAAAGTCACGCAAATTTAAGTTGTGATCCCATCTACGTGCATCAGTCTCAGGGCTAGTTATTAGTTCACATCAGTTATCTCCACCACAGGATGATCTTTATTATGACACAGGTAACACTAAAGGAAACCTCTATCCATTATCTTCCTCATGTTTTTTGTCTTGTCCACTGCACCTTACCTCCACGATGGCGTTGAGGGACGTGTCGGCGCCGATACTGAGGTCGGTGCCGGGCACATTGTTACTAATGGTGGCAGGCAGCATGCACATCGGGACGCAAAACTCCTCGTAGTCGGCCCGGGCCTCGTACAGCTGCAGCAGGGACTCAAAGGCCTGATGGTGGGGGCCGTAGTAATACCGAGTTAGACCACCAGGTGGAAGACTACATGTCTGAGACCCTGTTAATGTGTCCTCAGTGTGCAGGAAGCTACAGTGGTTTTACAGGCTGGTCCATGGTGCACAGTGGCTTCATTGGCTTGTATCCTTGGTTACCTTAAAGTTCCCAATTAGATTGTTTACACTACAGTCTGTACTATGCATTCATTTTTGTAGTGTACTGTTTTGCATGAAATCCTGTTTTACAGTGCACTAACAGAAAGTAATGTGCAGCAACAAATTTAATGATTAACTTTGAATGACCACCTACAATTAAACTCCACAGAGAAGGTCAAATGGGAGGACTGATTACCTGTTCAGCACTTTAGAAAAGTAAAGTCTGCTGCTGCTTTAAGAGCTAACAGTGAAGAAGAAAGGATACAAGAGAAGGAGGTCGTTTGAATTAAACTGAGACCATGAAGATGTGTCTCTGTAACGTGCGTGTGTCCTGCAGTGTGTGCGCTGCTGGCTGGCTCTCTCCGGGAGACAGGGGAGTGGGGGGGGGGCTTTGGCTTCCCATTGACTGAGAGGAGATGGGATGGGAGGGGGGGGGGGGGGGTTGGCTTCCCCCTGGCTTGAACGTGCTGACAGTGTTGACGCGACAAGATAAAGACAGGGGTGGGGCCTCCAGACACTCTGAGCTGTTTCCTTTTATGTTCAAGAAATGAAGAGCTGCTTTTTGTTGTCTTTTGTTTTTTGTTTTTTTTAAAATCAGGTGTGCAGACAGGTTGAGGTCACACAGGGGAACCTGGTCTGGTTCACAACAATAAAAACACTTAACATGTGGACTGCAGTCAGTGATGCTGCACTCGTAGCACGCCTACGCAGCATGCAGACTTACTCTCCAAACGACACCGTGCCGTTTGGAGGAGAAGGAGCAAGCAGAGCGTCCCTGTTGCGTTGAACTGGACAGTTAATCTGCTGTTTACCAAACACACACAGAAAAAGGGCCACGCGCCAAAAAACATGCCACAACACGTCACTGCATGCCCCAACACTTACCTGGGACCTCCGCTGTGCAGCTCGCATCCAACAACATCCAGCAACTAAGGTTTGAGTTGAAATTAATTATTAATTAAAATAATATATAATTCAAAGATACTGAAAAATGCCAAGCTGTTTCCATAGTGTTTTGTCTGAGGATGCATTGCCTGTCTGAAACGCTGTGTTTAAGTCTGTTTTCACTCTTCTAATGTACTGTATCACTATCATTCACTAACATTATGATGTGCTTTTGTTTGTGTGAAAGCAGAAGATCTGCACGTTTCAAGCGGCTCTATGAAAATCGTTCATATAGGTTTGGCTGCCTGTGTTTACACAGAAAATATCACAGCTCACTGACACTGTGCAGCAGTGAATCTCAAACTTTTCCCCTCTGGAAGCCAAATCACATTCTTGACAACCACAACAAAAGCTGACTCGAGCACTCAGGCAAAGTTTAATGTACCAAAGTGATCTTATTTATAACATGAACTGCACATGAACTACTGAGTTGGCTCACCTGCTACACTGACACTGAACATAGGAGCAAGACTGCATCACTTTTTGGATTTGACTGATGTGTGTTTTTAAATTTTTTTTGTGCTCTCTGAGTAATTCTTGCTAACCTGGATCTTGATGGCATTCATTTACCTCCATTTTCCAGCTCATGTCCCCCGTACTAGAGCTAAATAGCCCCTTGGCATGGGTCCACCCCAGTGTTTGAGACCAACTGTGGGTATTCATCCTAAATGACTTTATATTTAACGGAAACTTCTAATATATTTTCAGTTTCAAAATCACAAACAATCACGCAACTATTTTATCAGCATTTTCTAAACTTCTAAGCATGGCATTCTCACAAAAATATCTAAAGTTGTTATCGATATAGAGACTGTAGTTTCTTGACTGTCTCAGCCTGTCAAATTAAGTCCACCTTCTCATTGCTCATGTGTGGATGCGAGCTGTCAGTCAGCGAAGCCCTAAAATCTGACTGGCTGGGTGGTGGTGGTGTGTGTGTGAAGTCCAACATCAAAACACACACACACACACATATATATACACACACACACACACACACACACGCACACACACACACACACACTGTAACCCAGCCGCACTTACATCAGTAATGGCATTCAGAGCAGTGTCTGAGCCAATGCTGAGGTCTGAACCAGGTATATTGTTGGAGACGGTGGCGGGGACCATAACCATGGGCACACAGAGTTCACTATATTTGTCCCGAGCAGAAGAAAGTTCCAGTAATCCCACGTAGGCCTGCAGCAGTGAGAGCCAGTGTCTTATTGGTTATTATTGAGGAGGTAGAGACAAAAGGGGAGATGAGGTAGACGAAAGGCATTGTAGGCAAGGTTGTAGAAAAACCGATGGGAGGAGCTGAAGCAGTGAGGGAGGGGCAGAACTAAAAAAGTGTCCAAATTCCATACTACATATTAATAGTTTATAGCTTGTAGCATAATAACTTTTTTTCAATCAGTTTTGGCAGTTATTATAGAAGAAATCAATCTTACATACTTTCTAAGCTGGTTCTGGCCACTTGAGGGCAGAAAAACTCACCAGCAACCAAAAAATGAAAGACTATGACTTATCATTCTGTATCTGTGTTTTTGGCCACCAGATGAATGTGAAGTCCTTTTAGCTCTTGTTTGGTCTCCACCAACTCTGCTCTGTAAAGCTGTAGGGAACTGCAGAGTTGGGTAATAATTCTCTCCATCACTGTGAGAGGTCATTTTTACAATACATGCACTCAATCAGTGCAGGAAATATTGATTAGTGAAGCTTTAACTGTATTGTACTAATATTTACAAGATGTTATTTACCGACTGCTACTTCAGGAAGTTACGAATAAATATGAAAGCAAGAGGTTTTTGTACGGATTCAGCTTCCTTCCAGTCGTCTTATTTTTTACAACAGTGAGTAACTCTTCATTGTCCTTTGTGCATTACATTATAAGACAATATTCTCCATCAGCAGCACAAATAAATAAGTCTGTGTAGTAAACTGGCTGTGGGAGGGGCTTACACTGAGAGGGTGGAGTCTGTTGTTGGGAGGGGTCTAGTGTAGGAGGAGCCTGAACGTCTTGAGAAATGCGGTAGGAAAAAAAAACAGACACAGCGATGATACGTGGGATAAACAAAGGTCTAGGAAGAGTGTACTGGTGGGAGAAGCCAAGGGGAGAGAGCCAGACCAATCACAGAGGACTTGAGACACACACACAGGAAGAAGACTTCCACACACAAAGAGAGACAAGGGTGAAAGCAGTTTATATTCTGGCCAAGCTGTCAAAGTCAAAAACCAGTGTATTTTTTGAAAACTGACACTTTTTTTTTTTTTTTTTACCATTTGGTTTCTGTTAGGTCTAACGAATGAGTGAACTTACATTTGTAATGTTTAATATTTGTCTGTGTTACTTGCATATTTAGCTGTGTGAAGCTTGTACATCTGAGATGATCTCTTTCTAGTTCACCAGTCCACTAAACAATGAACCCATCTTTTGGTTAAGGTCATTTTTATGATTCTTAACAAGTTCTATAAACAAATCATCAAGGTACGTCTTTGCAGCTTGGTCATGGAGTAGTAACATATATGGACAGACAAGGAGAGAGCCTGTCACACTTAAATGTGTCATAATTGTATTTTTAAAAATATAGTTGTAAATGAATGGGGACATGTCTTTCATGTTGGAATGTCAAATAGGGTAAATCAGTGAAAATGAAATGGACTCGATGTTGAACAATAGTGAATGTGAAACACTAGAAAGAGAGGGCGCTTGATAACACTGTGTAACAGGTAATGAAAATAACACAGATTTATCTTTTCAGATAACTCAAGAATTCTGCTTTTATACAATTATCAGTAGCTTTGCTTTAGAAACAATATTCACAATAAAAGTATTTTAAAATATGACAAATGCTAACAATGGCAGAAAAAGACAGAGCAAGATTTTTTTCTGATAAAACATGTTCAGAAAGATAAAATATTAACATAAAACTTTGCCATTGTGCTCAAAAATCACGTCAAGTTACGTACCTCAAATCCTCCGATGACAAGCAGGGCATTGATGTTATGGATCCTCATCTGCTCAGCAATTTTATCCAGATGTTTGCCTGGAAGAGTTCTGACATATAGAAAGAAAATGAATGAAAAATGTTTCACTTAAACCCAGTTAAACTGTTAGTTAACAAAGATAACATGAGAAACCAACGAACATGTAATTCCATTTTTAAGCAGTTACGGTATAATCACTGACAATATATTAAAATTCATAATCATGCAGGGAAAAATAAGGTTTTCTAATCATTAATCTGAGGATCTACCACTTCATTAACTTTTAATTAGAAATATTCATTCTACAGGAAAAAAAAGGTGATAAAGTGCCACCAGACCACAAGATTTATACTAGATATAAGTCATTAAAATATCTACAGTACAACTATTACAAATGACATTATCTTCAGATTACACATCTACACTTTGAGACCGCAGCAACTTACCTTTTTGTCCCTAGCAGCGATCCTCCCTGGCCAGTCCAACCACCTACATCTCCCCATTTGATCTCCTTGATCTGACAAAGAAAGATGTGATCATATAATATATTATATATACAGTATATAATATATATAATTCATGATTATAATTTATGATTTAAAAAAAATGGTTTTATATCTTAAAACAAAAGCAACATGGGTGAACAACATCTCTCCTTTTGATACATTACAATACATAGACACATAATCACACCTCCTGAACTTCTTGACTGCTTTTGCTTTGTTGTCTAAGCACTTGGTAAACTTTGTTTTTAAAAAGGTGCTACTATACATAGTTTATTATACACAGTTTAGTGGTGATATTTTACTACACGGATAACTCTGGACTTCACAGTTTTCCTTGTATCTACATCCTTTAAAATGAACAGGCTCTGAAAACGGTTGAGAGTAAATTCAGTGGATTATCAGGATTAACAGGGATAACTCTTATTTTCTTTCAGCACCACCAAAAAGAAATTCAATCTCAATCGTATCAGAATGGAGGAAGAAATCTTAGAGACAGATATCTCTAAATGTGGACCAATGCAACCATCTACATGGTGAGATAGGGATACGGGAGAAAAAAGGTTTGTACTTTAACTGAACTGACCATTTAGAGTGCTAAAAATTAAGCGCTATATTTCAAAGCATCTTAATGAGGGAGTGTGGCACAAACATTTTGCCACTGTACTGTCACTGTGCCAGTGTTGCTACATTTAACCAGTAGCTCTTCATTATAATCGGCGTCCTACTTAGTTGGGGTTTTATCCAGGGATCACGGCTTCACTTTTCAATCACGTCTAATCCTTCTACATGACAACCCGCCTCTGGGCTTAATTGCTTTCAACAGGTCGCGGCATGTTTCTGAACAGCTGAAAAAGTGTGTGTGTGTGCATTTGTGGAAAGCATGTACACAATACAGTACAATACCACCAATACAAAGACCATGCATGTGTATATACGGTATAGCTGCCGTGGGAGTGGAATAATTGGCTTACAGTAAGTGGCACTGTTTATCTATATACAGTCTTATCACTGTGACAAGCAGCAGAGAGGGAGGAGAGTGAGTGCGCAGCTACTTCCTGCTCCCTGCCACTGGTCAGGAGAGTCACTATGACCTCCAAGGAATGTTTACTCTCAATAAGTGTTAGCGGTTACGAAGTTAAGTTTACAGTCGCATTGACAGGCTGAAAGTAGAGTTTGCTCCTGCATCACTGATGAATGTAAGACACAGATTTCAGATTTCATAAATGCCATTTGAGAGTGAAGAAATCACAGTCAGGGAGAAAAGACAGAACAGCCTGACCAATCAGGTTTTAAACTGCCAACGTGTCAGCGGTGTCAGTTTCAGGTGAATATGACTACAGGTTCCAGCTCAAGTGTACTCAGCATGACTGTACTGTTTGTTTAGGCTCAATAAACTTCTCTTGTACTTGTGTTCACACAACACTGACACAGATTACTGACTGTGCAAGATGAAACTAATACAGATGCTGTTATTGAATTGCGTATCTGTTGCCAATTTGTTAAAACATTTTGAGAGTTTACTGAGTGATTCAATCATATTTTCTTGCACTACTGTTCTGACAAACTGGTGAACACCTCAGGGCAGAGGAGATTACAGTACAATACAACAATAACAACAACAACAATAATCACTGTGCTTCTTTTAAAAAATGATTCTATGAAAAGAGTAAAATTATTTCAAAAATAGTTGGGGAGAATAACTGACTAGATTGCTGAACAAATATAGTGCTGAAATGATTAGATGGTAGACAATATTAACAAATCAATAATAATAAATAATTAATAAGAATAAATTGTTTAAGTCATCTTTTTGGCAAAAACTTTTTTTCTCTTCTTGTTGCAGCCTTTAAAGTGTAAAGATTACAGCAGATGGATACAACACTGTAAAATAGATAGTGTCGAGGTCTGGACTGTTGGTCAGACAAGATAAGTAATTTGAGGATGGCTTTGATAAACTGTCTTCACTGTTCTCTGACATTTTACAAACTAAACGTTTCATCGACTCACTGAAAAAAATAACAGAGAGGTTACGTGATGCAGCCCCTGGACAAATATACAGTAAATAAATATAACCTGTACATAGTTGTGTGTTTCGCATTCTCTCTTACCTGTCCTTTGTAAAATCCCTCGAAGCCGTCATTGACAGCAAACATCTTGTGGCCTTCAGTGATTCCCACTCTGACGGCAGAGCGCACGGCAGCGTTCATACCTGCTGCCGGTGCACCGACGTTCAACACCGCCACGTTAAACGAGCTCTGTGGGTGGCGGAGAGCGCGCGCACACACATACACACACACACACACACACACACACACAAACACAAACACACAATATACTCAGAATTATGCAATGGAGAAAGCAAAACCTGGTGCACGTCTTAATTAGGGCCATATGTTTATTAGAGCCAGCACCCTCAAGCTTTGTCACATTTAACAGCATCTTCACACATTAGGTGTGAATCTTACATTCTGCGCACAACCACAGCATGTATGATGCTTGGTTTGAAGAAGATGGTATATCAGCAACTTTTAGAGGCAAAGAAGATGAACATTAACTCCTGGAGCATGAAAAAGACAAACCGGACAAATTATTATGCTTATCTTTTTATTTTTAAATTACACTAGTATCCTTATAAAAATAAAAAAATAATAATTGTGTCATGCCTGTCAGGATAGTTGACCATCTACACTGCCTCATAATACCATCCATGTCTCATTCACTGCTGAGGGGCCAGGTAAGACTTTGCCTCAGAGCAGCAGCAGCAGCAGGCAAAGGTTACCTTGCATGCAAGAAGCCACATGCTGCTAAAAGACGCAGTGAAAACAGCAGCTGCTTTCTCACGACAACCACTGAAAACATCGACGGTCAAATGCAGACTGTTTTCTCGCTGTTCAGACTTGGATCATCCAGAGAACTGCGCCACTGGTTTCAGTCCCAGATGACAAAAAGCACAAGGTCCATATTTCAGCTGAACGGCCCATGTAGTTGTGTGCACATGACTCATGACTTGAATGCAAGCCACAAGCCACTCAGCCATAAATGACTTGTTGGCATTTGGTGTGTAACTGTTGGGTCAAAGGTGCGCTGTGAATTAATGACAGATTCAACCTGCAATTCTTTAACAGGATAATCAAGGACATGGACTGGATTAGAGAACATACAGAAGACGACGTGGAGAAGCTTAAACTGGACAGGCGTCCAACTCTCAGCTCAATCTCAAAACTCAGAGAATAACATAATTTATTAATATTATACATTTCACAAAACCAAATTAGTGAGTAGATTTTGTATCAGAAGATTTGGGTATCTAAAACTGTCACATACTGAAAGTTGGTTTTGAATGCTTGGTCAGTTTATTAGTTTTATTTACACATAATTTGATTCTGATTAAGAAATGATATGCATCAGCACCAGTATCATATGATTTGAAATTATACCAAGAATTATGAATGGTTGATTCCTCAGTAAATTGTATTTAAAGCTCCCCAAACCTGCACTAAAGTTTTAATTTTGATAGTGTAGTTGGTAAAAGACTTGTCTGCTCTGTGAACTAAGCAAAAGCACAAGTGACACAGATTTGAAAAAGTGCTCTATAAATAAAGATTGTTGTTATTATTACGATCATCATTATACATTTCTGCAGCCACTGGCCATATTTAACAGGGAGAGAATGGAGCCTGTCCAGTTTGAGTCATGAACAAGCAAAGACACTTTCAGCTACTGTCTCCACAGTGAACTGTAAGGAGACTCCTTCAGATTCTTTTGAAGCAGATCACAAGAAATGCTGTGATTGTCCTAGACAGCACCGCAGCACTGATGCACCTCTCTGCATGTCTATGCGTCTACTTCTAAGCAGAGCCGTGAAGGAATAAGCAATGGCAGACAGAGGGACAGATAATGAGCACTGACACTGTCATTTTGTGCCACTGTGTTACAATATAAACATCTGTAAAATAAAATAAAAAATGCCTGGTAGTATATTAGTCCTAGAAAAACGAAAATCCTCTCACAATTGTAATTAAATTTCACCACAGCAAGGGGAACGTTAGAAGCCAAAGTGAATGAGAAGAAGGCTCAACATAAAGGTCTAAAGGTCACTAAACTAATTGGTAAAAGGCTCGTCTGCTCTGTGAACTACGCCTGCAGAAGCTTCAGAAGCTGCAGCCTCACATACATCAAACTGCTCTTCATCCCCCGCCTCCTCCTCTCCCTCGGGACAGAGACAGTCACAAAAAAACAAACAAAAAAAAAAAAAAACCCAACATACTTGGTTAGTGTCACAAAAAGACTACAGCACCCACAATGCACCTGAGCAGGGAGTACCTTATATGCTAACGTACAAATCTCAGAGCCGCTGGTGGAAAGACACATTAGAAGAATTAAAGTTGTAATAATCTTATTGATCAGATATAATAAATGTTTCTTTTTATTATTTGATTGTGAGGGAACTTACATTGGGAAGTTCAGAGTCTGCTTTCCGGTAGGAGAGGAGTCTGTAGGTGCTCAGATTGTTTTCAAAGCTCCTGCAAATGAGAGAGGTTAAAAAAAGACAACAAAACACAAAGTTAACCAATGTAGGAAATCCACACTGCCTGTCGGCCCCAATGCTGCTGCAGGGAAAGACTTTAGAGTCAATCAAAAAATCAATTAGAACACAATTAAACTGGGGCACACTGCCAAACAGACAAGAGGACAAGTGTTATTGGTAATCTGTGTACAACGGGGTAAAAGCTAATGATTCAGTGTTGGTAGCTCTTTGTTGTTTTTATGTGTTGCATCTAGCTTTTAAACTTGTTTGTAGTCAAGTGAACCTTAGTTTAACGAGATATTTGAGAGATCTAACAGATATTTGATAATATCAAAGCTGTAGAATTAAAAAAAAAAAAAAAGAAATACCTCCCACGCAGCCTGACTGCGTCATCAAATTTCTTCTCATCCATGGCCTTCTGTACTTCCTGGGTCTGATGACAAAACATGAAAGATGCATGTTAAACAGGCATGTGTTCATTTTGTGCTGTTGTGACAGGCCTCTGCCCCTGTTTGTGTCTGTGATGTCCTGAATAGCTTGCAGGTGAAGGGTGGGTGGAGTTATGCTGAACTAGGAGCACCTGGGCCCAATGACCACCTTCCAACTAAACCTCAGTCCTTTCAGACACATTTAGTCTCTTTATCATTTATTCTTATACTAATCTCTGCCCTGCATTGTTTTATATACTAAACTGTGCTGCAGTGTCCTGGTTCAAAGCTACAGGTCTTTAACATATTTAAAATACTTTTATTATTTTAAATAAAAAGTTTAAAAATTAAATACGCTTAAAGATGTCAGTATGTAAACTAAACCAATTCTTGAGTGTCATTTTACTGTACACTACTATCCCACAATTCAATTCACTAAGGAAAAGGAGGGGCTGTTCATAGCTAAAAGAAAAAAATAAACCATCTGTGAACAGTATCAGTTATCATTAGTGTATCATACTGAATTGGGGCACGATTGAATTTATTTAAATGTCTATTTAAAGTGAGACGTTTGCAGCACTTGTATATATACAGTATCGTATAGTATAGTGACACTGTAGGATCCTTTGTTAAAATGTCACATGTTGAGAGAGAATCTTATATTGCTAACGTACAAATCTCAGAGCCGCTTGTGGAAAGACACATTAGAAGAATTAAAATTGTAATAATCTTATTGATCAGATATTAATATGTTTTCTTTTTATTATTTGATTTGTGAGGGAACTTACAATTGGAAGTTCAGAGTCTGCTTTTCGCGGTAGGAGAGGAGTCTGTAGGTGCTCAGATTGTTTTCAAAAAAGCTCCTGCAAATGAGAGAGGTTAAAAAAAGACAACAAAACACAAAGTTAACCAATGTAGGAAATCCACACTGCCTGTCGGCCCCAATGCTGCTGCAGGGAAAGACTTCTTTAGAGTCAATCAAAAAATCAATGAGAACACAATTTAAACTGGGGCACACTGCAAACCAGAGGACAAGACAGTGTTTAGGGTCATATGGTAATTCTGTGTACAACGGGGGTAAAAAGCTAATATGATTCAGTGTTGGTACTCTTTGTTGTTTTTTAGTGTGTTGTGCAAATCTAGTCTTTAAACGATTCTCTTATGTCCAGAGTGAAACCCTTATTTAAACGAGATATTTGAGAGATCTAACAGATATTTGAATAATATCAAAGCTGTAGAATTAAAAAAAAAAAAAGAAATACCTCCCACGCAGCCTGACTGCGTCATCAAATTTCTTCTCATCCATGGCCTTCTGTACTTCTCTGGGTTTCTGATGACAAAACATGAAAGATGCATGTTAAACACGAGTGTTCATGTTTGTGTGTGTGTGACAGGCCTCTGCCCCTGTTTGTGTCTGTTGAATGTCCTGAATAGCTTGCAGTGTGAAGGTGTGGTGGAGTTATGCTGGAACTAGGAGCACCTGGGCCCAATGAACCTTCCAACTAAACCTCAGTCCTTTTCAGACACATTTAGTCTCTTTATCATTTATTTCTTATACTAATCTCTGCCCTGCATTGTTTTATATACTAAACTGTGCTGCAGTGTCCTGGTCAAAGCTACAGGTCTTTAACATATTTAAAATACTTTTATTATTTTAAATAAAAAAGTTTAAAAAATTAAATACGCTTAAAAGATGTCAGTATGTAAACTAAACCAATTCTTGAGTGTCATTTTAACACTTCTACACCACCCACAATTCAATTCACTAACGGAAAAGGAGGGGCTGTTCATAGCTAAAAGAAAAAAATAAACCAATGCTTGAACGAGTATGC